GGGAAATTCCCGTCCTCAAGATACCTCAATTGAATTTCAGCCTGTCGCTTTCGAACAATCACCTCTGACGGCGGTGGGCGCCGAGTGAAGCCTATCAACAACTGGCCAAGATACTCAATTAAGATCCCAAGAAGATGTTTATAAATCGCCCTTGTGCGCCGCGCTGCTTGACCTTTCTGACCTGCCCTGCGGCAGCGAAGGTTTCTCCGGTGAGCAGCGATGACCCCAGCAACCCTTGTTTGGAACCTGTTTCTCGATCGACTCCTACCTCTCGATGGTGCCGGAGGTGGCAAAGGTGGCATACACAGTCTTGCGTCGCAGGTCTTGCTCTTGCAGTGAAACAAAAGAGTAGCTCTTGCGTAGCTCTTGCGGAAACTAAAGGTAGCTTGCTTGATCCGATAGGTACACCGATCTCTCTTGATTCACTAGTTTCTGGCCTAACCTTTGATTATTTGGGATATGCTTCCACTAATTCTGTTCCTAGGATCTCTCAAGACAAATGCCCTTGCACAAGTTTGGGATCGCTGGCAAAATGCCAATCTAAGAACTCACTTTCGAAATTGGTCTTTGTTCGGCAACTGGTAAGGTCTCTGACACAGCTCGACCAAGTGCAAGTTTCGACGAGGGACAAGCACTTAAATAATCAAGCTACACACCAATTGCGGTTGTGGTTGGACTGCGTAAAGGCTCAGCACGCGTCTAGTAATGCGATCACTCTACTCCCTTTTATGGATGTTATTGGTGAGTGGTGCTGCAATAGATGTGCAGACTTCCACCCCCGGAGCACACGGTCCTAAACACGGATGCTCTTATGCTTCACTTCCGATACCTGGATAGGCGGTGGAAGGTCGCACTTAACGCTGCACAAGTGGGCCAAAGCTTTGCAACTCGATTTAGCTATGGGACCAAAGGCAGGAATTAAGTAGCGGGGTTTGCCTAACAAAGGATGGCTCAAGTCCTTGCTAAGCTATATATGGAATGCACAAAGCGGATGAGGCTGTTAACCTACTGCACTTGTGATGCACAGCCACACACCACAAGTCAGCACTAGCGCCCAAGCACCCCTTTTACTCAGTGCTTGAGCCAAAAGTCGGTATGTACCAAAATGAGGTGAATTGTTTGGTAAGACACATAGTAACCTTATGTACAATATGTATAAAGGGGTCACATTATGTGATTTCCTTCAACTATATTTATACATAAAAATTAAGGTATAAATTACCCCTAATCTTTTAAATATTACTAATTTTATATTAATAATTAGAAATAATAGCGACCAATATTATTTATTTCTCGTTTATTATAAACAAAATTAGGTCGTTCCCTATCGGTCGTAAAAAAATCGCTCTTTAAGAATATTTAGCAGTAAATACTTCTACTAGTAATAAAACTAAAATGAATATTAGTATTAATACTAATAGTATTAGTACTAGTAGAAGTAATAATAAAAGTAGTCGTTATCATAGAAATATTAGTAGTACACAAAGCAGAAACAAAAGCAGTAGTACCAGTAACAGTAGTAATAGTAATAGTAACGGTGTAAAAATAAACACTTTGTTACAGATTATTGTGGAAATTTGTTAGGATCTAAGGGTATCGGTGCTAGGTCGTCCTCTATCAGAAAGATTTTGTAAAAGCACGCAAAATTCAAGGTAGCTCTCTACTACTTTCAAATGCTAATAATTTTGGATATAAATATGTATATATATAAATTATAAATATATCTATTAATTAAATAATTAAATATATTTTATAAAATAAATATATTTATTCAAATATATATTTAACTATTTTAAATTTTAAATATATTTTTATCTAATTTAATAATGTAATAATAATATTTTTATAAATTAATGAAAAACATATAGATCATTGTATATATATAATTATAATATATATATATAATACACCAAATATTGTAGTAACCAATGGTGAAACAACGAGATTTGTAGTACTGACAATCTCAATCTATATGGATATCCATCCCCGATCGTGGGCAAACGACCAATTATTGTTGCCCCTAAGTTATGCCTACAGGTCTGTATTGACGTATAGCTATTCAGTTTTCAACTAAAACATATTACAGTCAAATAACATATTGATGGATATATAACATATATATATAATTACATATTATTCACCGCGATCCGCAAGTTCATGCGTTCGTCGGAAAGCTCACATGATTCTAGGGATTTGACGTGAAACTCACTGCTATTCAAACTCAAATAGAACACGATATCATTTGTTGGAAGCGAACATCCCAAGGAAAGCAGCTTGCTCCTTGGTCATTCCCCGGCAAGCCCGCAATGTAATCAAAAGAGACACGGAGATGAGTTCGTTTGTAAGGCTTCAACTGGCCCAAGGAGCCCGAAGCCTAAGCACAGAACACTTCCAACACCTGCTGAAAAAAATGATAAGCCTCCGATCAGGTTCTCATTCAATCTGGACATATCAAGTCAGTCATGTTTCAAGTAGACCATCCATGACCATCCATTTTCATAGCTCCTTCATATGTTTGGGGAATCAAATCATATATCCCCATATTTTGAAGGGTTGATAATCTTGACGCATACCCTCCCGGTTTAGGTCTCTGACCGGGATGGTACTGGTAGTGTGCACCTTGACATGGAAGTTCTGATGACTGCGACATCTCCTGCTGGTGGTTGCAAGCCCCAAGATTTTCATCACAATTGATATATATTACATATTGATATATATTGAATTGGATATATATAGATATATAGATATATTATATATTGAATTATTTATTGATATCATCATCCCAAATAAAAATAGAAATGAAACATCAGCATTATCTATTGTACAGTCGTCCGAAACCACCGACCGATTTGGAATCATTTCGTTAAGTCATGTTTTGTAGATGATTTGTTGCGTAGACTTTTCACCTGTCGGGCTACAATTTCGAATCTCCTGGCAGTGTTCACTTGCCCATCTTTGTGGTGTTGCCTGTCGCGCAAACTTTCAAATCGCCGCTTGTGGAAATCTGTGGATGCAGTGCCAGTGCTGCAGTGCCTGCACGTAGAGAGGACTGGAAGGATCATCACGACGAGGTGCAAACCTTAACGTACAACGTATCGTCACTGGGGTAAACACATTGAATCACCGAGGATGGAACTCGCCGGATTCACTCCAGGTTGGGGTTGCCTCAGTGGTTTTTTTGACCTGGAAATCATGTTCCAACACAGACGGAAACGTTCGCTGTTCATACCTGTTGCCTGACAAAGCGTTGGTGAGCACCTCAACAAATCATGTCCCTAGCATCCGCGGGCGTCCCATCCTGGATAGATTTGGAAAAGGACAACGCTTCTGAGATATTGTTTGTCTAGCGTTTATCTGAGGGACCCCCTGAACAGAATATATCCAAAATCAGTTCAGGATGCATGGTGGAAGACTGTCCACCTGTCAACTGTTGCTAAAAAATGTCGTATTGTCAGACACATCTTCTGCGGACTTGTCAGGCTGACTTTTCCGCGCTTTTTTTCACAAGTTTGAATTGCGATGACAATTCTCTACAATCAGCAACTATCCTGGACTCCTTTCACTACTAGTAGACTACTAGGAGGGCTAGGAATTGAGAACACATCCAGTAACCAGCAATGCTGCAACTTCCCATCCACCTTCAAAATCTGCGTAGAAAAAGCCATTTCACATCCATTTCGCCCATATCTCCCAACATATGGCTATGGATCAATACCTATACATACCATTTTTAGGGGGTTATTCACATCCATTTCTCCCATCCCAAGCTAAGGGTTTTGACCCATCCCCATATCTCCCATCGACCCCGCTGCCGCCCCTTCCAAGCGGCAATGAAGGTCCCTGCAGGTGTCTGTACTGGTGAACTCCCGCAGCGGTCGCCCTGCAAGCCTCAGAACCGGAAGGTGTGGCCCAGCTTGGCCCAGCTTGGCCCATCTTTTGTGGCCAGGTGTTGTATCAGAACCCAGAAGAATCCATACATATCCATCATAAATCATAAGTTATCATAGTAATTAGCAATAATATATATATATATACAGTATATGTCATAAAGAGTCATAATAATCATAATATAGCAATAATCAGAATATAGTAGTAACACATAGTAATACTGATTAATAATCCATGATAACAATCCAACAATCATTCAACCAAACCTTATCATTTGTGTGACTGTGTAAAACCATTGAAAATTAAAACCACTGTATTTTTTTGACTTCTACCCTTGGCTTCTCCTGATTCAAAATGATTCAAGCTTGAATGTGCCTCTTCTGCAAAAACTTGGGACGACACTGCCATTGAAGGTGCGTGCTCGGTGGCTGAGGAGCCAGTCAGCCTCGATTGCCGCTGCCACGGCTGTTTCTACAAACATCGGACACTGAATGAATTATCTGCCCCCAATTCACAACATCAGGAAAACATTACACAAACAACTTCCTCATGGGGTGTTTATTCCAATCTCATGAGACTTGGAGTGACTGTGAGTGACTTAGGACATCGTCAATAATCGTTGCAAGCCTTTCGCAAACCAAGGTGCGTTGACTCTTTCCGGTCGAGTCCAGTCTCGAAAGCCACGCCCGAGCCCAGTCACGCTTCTCGGCATCCCATATTCCTGTGGATCACGAAGGCCAAACTTCTGCAACTAAAGTGTTCAGTTACTGTCAGTTGTTAACTGTGTGCTATGTATGGCATGCTATGGCTATCAATGCCAGTACTCTCTACTCGTGTGTGGTCCTCTCTGCGTTCTTGAGCAATATTTTCCATGCTCTCGTTGAAGGTGCGGGGCAAACGCCTGTGGCATTGTTTCAATCAAAAACCGAATTGACACAAAGCCAGTCAGCTGATTGCCATTGCATCAAGATCATCAAGTGGCTTAGCGAATGAGGCTGTGACTGCAACAACTTTCCAGGTAGGTAGCTGCTACCCCTGCTGCCAACGTGGAACCTCTCCAAGCTCATGGTGTAAAGGAACAGACCAGCAGCTGGTCTCATGCTATCATACATCTGGTTTCAACTGATTGTTCGTAGGATCAGGACTCGCCAAAAGAGTGCAGCTTCCGATCAACTGGCAAGTCCGTATCCTTGGTAATGCGGCCAGTCATCCATGCCCACGATTTCCAAAAATCTGAAGTAGGGCCTGGCCCCAAACTTTAGTTTCTTTCATCTCTGTAACAAGGACTGCTGAAATGCAATTGTGCAATTTCGATAACAAGTAACCCTGGCAGTTGCAAAACAGCAGAAATCATCTTGAGAGTTGAGAGAGACCTGTTTTTTTCAAACTTTTGCAGTTGTTCCTGGCTGCACTCGAACAGCATACCACCCTGCAGCTTCCAGGCGTGGCCTCAGCTGGTTTGGAATGTCATCGATAACGGTATCCGACCGTTTCATGAACATATGAACAAATGATCATAAAGGCTATCAAAAATGGCCCACCTATAATTAATCACCTATATTATATATTGAAATCTGTTAGATTGAGACACCAGGCAAAAAATGCCAGATAATCCAGTAGGAACCGGTTGTATTCCTTCGCCGCATTGGGTCCCGCGGCATGTCCTCCACCTCGGCATCGCCGCCGACTCCTGGTGCAATATCTCCATGGCAATCGTGACATATGGATGTAACCAATTTTGATACAGAAGTTTTGATGTAACTTCATGTGTATTTTTGATTATTTTTGATGCTATTCCATATTCTTCCATGAAGTTTTACAAGCATTCCAAAATATTCCAAAAGATCAAAACTCTCTGGGGTTCCTCTGTCTCCATGCGTTTCTTTGATGGGAAACTATGGAAACAGTCTTTCTTTGTGTATGGCTTGATACATTCTCCACATTCTCTTGAACTACTACAAATAACCAGGTGTGGCTTCATGGGCTGTCAATAGATTTCATGAAGTAGCTGGATCCCTAGCCCTTCCAGACCCTGACTGGTCATTCTCAATAGCATCTTAATAGCATCTAGCACTATGAATCTTTTTATGAATCTTTACAAGTACTAATGTTCTACATGTTCTACAGTGTTTGTTTACCCTTTTCTTAGGTCCTGTTCGGTCGAACAGGAAATCTACAAACAAATATCTGTCAACAAAGCCTTCCACATCCCCGTATCTGTCCATCTTCTGGAGGAAATTCAAGACTTGCACCGAAGAGATGAAACACCTGGGAAGCAAAAGACCGATTTGCTGGCGCTGGAATCCATGAGGAATCCATGGCTTTTTCGCTGTCATGTTGCAGATATTGGAACAAGCACTTCAAATTACTTTAAGCATGTTTAAGATACTTTAAGCTAGCATAACAAGAAGTCGCCAAGTACTCAGTGTCTATTGCAACAAAGCATCATCGTCAGCACTTCCAAGCAATCTTAAAGGGCAATCGTAGTACTCAGAGGTGCGGTCTGCTTGAGCACCAGCCTGCACCACTGGATCTTCCGGGGAAGATTGCTCCAGGCACTGCCATGATCCCATGACGATCCATGGACAAGACATGACATCATGACAAGGTATGACAAGACATACTTCCAAAATCGTCCAAAGTATGGCCCACCTGATCCGCAACCAAACGCTTGACTGCAAATGCAAGTCCGGCACCTGCAACTGCCTTGGAGCAATTTGTGAAGGAAGTCATGGGGCAAAACATTCACTGGCGCTAATTGCATTCATCCTCTGTTTTCGTTGAAGTTTATAGGTGCCAGGATATTGAAGCCAAGGTGCTCCAACAGCAGAAAGTGAGCCGCACACCATCAAGCCGCCAGCAACTGAACCAGCTCCCAGTGCCTTTCGGATGCAAACTGCGTGATGAGTGGGTGGTGAGCAAAGTGGAGTCTGAAGAACATCAAAGTCAGGAATCTGAGCTCCCTTCCAATTCTAAAGCAGTAGCCAATAGTTGGATCGCCATGAATTTGATGGCGCCTCTATGCCAAGAGTTGATGCAGCAGCAGCAGCCACGCCACTCCCTTGTCAGGGCAAAAAGAGAATCAGCCAGCTATTCTCCTTTTAACAGATATGCATTCAAAAATACCACTAGGGTATGTTGAATACACACTAAAATGGCAATGGGTCAAAACTATCAACCACCCATTTTTTCTTCGGCTTGTTTTATACAGGACTAAAATGACTATGGCAAGTGGGGCCACACCAAGTTTGACCCACCCATCAATAGCATTCAACAGTTGATGCCCGGGACCTGCCAATCCGCCAGCCCAACCACCAGCAGCAGTGGCCACAGCTGTCGTCGTATCTCCATCATCCAGGAGGCTTCCAGCAATCGCCTGCGTCGTCGCACGTTCGCTGCTGATGCATCGTCCTCATTGCTCTTAGCAGTGTACATGTGACATATTTATACAACTAGTATACATATGGTACTGTACATATGTAATTAATATTAATCGATCATATACATATGGTCCGGTACAGTACTGTACATGATATCTTAATAACATCTTTTGATGCACCAGGCAGCTTGGTCTGAAAATAGAGCACCTTCCAGTTCATGGCTGATCATCCCAGATATCATTTTTGGACAACCCCCTATCATTCAAGTAATTCCCATAAAAGACTGACTGAAACACAGAACAAAGGTAGCCATAGCTATGGGAGGATCTGATCAATGAACATCTGAGCCTGCTGAGGCAAGGTGTAACCAAAGTCCTCATGCGGTGTATTGTTCAATTGGGTTTGTCTGAAAATAGGATACACCATATTTTGGTGGATAATGGCCCATAAAAATGGCTATTTGAGGGTATCCATGGGTATCCTCTATTTTCAGACATTGTTTAAATAACCTGTCGAAGTTCGCCTGCCCCACGAAACCTCCGAGGTTTGCCCAGCTTGTACCTGATGGAGTGGCCACCAGGGATCCGAGTATCCACTCCCTTGTCCATTCCAACAGGAGTCCGACAAACAACATCATCCCAGGTATCCGAAGTTATTACTGAATACAAGAGTAATATACATGTGTATACATATGTGCATACAATGCTCAATTCTACAGCATTCACAAAGCATGCGTAGTGCTCCCCGGTTCTCCCTGTTTATCTGGTAATATATGGGGTATTGCCGCTGCTCAGCACATGCCACATTGCAAAAGGGGAACATTTCGCAAGTGTCCAGGGGCTGGAGGTAAGGGACAAGGCCAGGGTGAGATCACAAAGAAATGGGTTCTTCCAGCTGACAAACAAACCTACTGAAGTCCGAGAAAATCCTTGAATCATGGTTTTCTAGGTATATATATATATATGTATGTATGTATGTATGTATGTATGTATGTATGTATGTATGTATGTATGTATATACGTATATATACATGTATGTATGTATGCCTGTATGTATGTATGTATGTATGTATGTATGTATGTATGTATGTATGTATGTATGTATGTATGTATGTATGTATGTATGTATGTATGTATGTATGTATGTATGTATGTATGTATGTATATACGTATATATATATATATGTATGTATATATATATTTACATATGTATATTTATATGTATGTAAATATATATGTTATATGTTATATGTTATATGTTATATGTTATATGTATATATGTTATATGTATATATGTAAGTATATATGTATATATGTATATATGTATATATGTATATATGTATATATGTATATATGTATAAATGTATATATGTATATATGTATATCTGTATATCTGTATATCTGTATATCTGTATATCTGTATATCTGTATATCTGTATATATGTATATATGTATATATGTATATATGTATATATGTATATATGTGTATATGTGTATATGTGTATATGTATATATGATTATATGATATGTTTATATATATATATACACATATATACACATCCATTATTGATAACTTCTCTATTTACTTATTTGCTTGTCTATTCATTCTACTTGAGAAAGGGAACACGAAAGGTAGGTGATCAAGAAGGGGAAGCAAAGCCTCTCCGTGTAAAAACTGGTTGTGTTCTTTGTGCAGTCTGTGTGGACAAGTTTTTCTGTGTCAAAGTCAAAGTTTTCCTGCTTAAAAGCTTCTTTGTGTAAAAACTGTTCTGCGCAAAGGTTTCTCAGTGTAAAAAAGGTTCTGTGTGTAAAAGCGCCTGTGTGCCTTTATTAATGCGTGCAAAAACATCTTTGTGCAAAGCATCGGTGTGTAAAAACGTCTGTGTGTAAAAGCTTCTTTGCGTAAAAGCCTGTGTGGCAAGGCGTCTGCGTGTAAAAGTTTGCCTGTGCACAAACCTCTGTGTGTAAGAGTATCTGCGCATAAAACCTGCTCTGTGTAAAGGTTTCTGTGCGTAACGTCGTCTGTTTGTAGAAACGTATCGGTGCAAAATGCGTCACCACAGCAAAATCGCAAAAACAATGAAACAAAAAAAATCGAACTCAAATGCTTGCTGTCGTTATGTTGTTGATGATGGCGGTGATGCGCGCAGGGCCCCACAAGGCGTCATTTTGGCTGTGTTAAGCCACTTTTTAAAAAGCCTCCGGGACAACAACACCGCACATTCCCATGTTTTTGGCGCCTCACAGGCTAAAAACCACGATACTGTTGCTGCTGTTGCTGCTGTTGCTGCTGTTGCTGTTGTTGCTGTTGTTGCTGTTGTTGCTGTTGTTGCTGTTGTTGCTGTTGTTGCTGCTGTTGCTGGTGTTGCTGTTGTTGCTGTTGTTGCTGTTGTTGCTGTTGTTGCTGTTGTTGCTGTTGCTGCTGTTGCTGTTGTTGCTGTTGCTGCTGTTGCTGTTGTTGCTGTTGCTGTTGCTGTTGCTGCTGCTGCTGCTGTTGTTGCTGTTGCTGTTGCTGTTGCTGTTGCTGTTGCTGTTGCTGTTGTCGTCGTCGTCGTCGTCGTCGTTGTCATCCCTGCAGTTATTTTTCTCAGTCTCGCAGCGGCCAAACATCGTCCAATAGCTTGTGTTTTCGTAAAACACCGTAAACACCGATGTTTTTTGCGCCTCGGAAGCCCAAAACCACGGTATTTACGCTGTTTTTTTGCTTCTGGTAGCAAAACCATGGTATTTACAGTGTTTTTGGACAGCACCGAGCAAAAACACTGGTATTTGCGCAGTTTGCGGCATGTTGCAAGAAGTGATTTTTCCATGCAAAAGTCATAAAACCCATGTAAATTACAGTGTTTTGGGTCTGATTTTAGGGTTTGTGAGGGGGGTTGGGGGCGATATCTAAAATAAACAGCAACCTTTGGTGATGTTCATATAGTCTGAATAGGATAAAATTGAATAGGATGTCGTTCAAGAACCGTTCCGTTTTCGCACTTGATGTACTTACATAGTTCAAATGCATCTGAGCGGCTCGCAGCCGCCACCGCTCCCGCTGCTTTGCCCAAACGGAGCGCCTCTTGTCCAAACCCAAAGCAGATCAAGGCAGTGCATGACAACTTTGCACAATGTCACTTCAGCAGATGCCCCAACTCTAGCTTTGCAACATCTTGCAACGCTCGCCCTACCCTTTGCCCTCAAAAGCGGTGGGAAGTATACAGCCATATACAGCCGTTTCAGCATTGAAACTGCATTGAATCTGCATCTCTCACCTTCACCAAGCGAATGCCACGGAGCACCACTCGCCCATGCCGCATGACCTTTGCTCTGAGAAGGACAGCAACTTCTGATCACTTCAGTCCTTACATACTACCGTGTTGAGGGTGTATCCCACAGACCAATACGCATGATTGTGTCATGGTTGGGAAATACAGGATTGTTCCCTATCCCAAGCCTTGACAGATACCATCTGTGCCTGTTTTGAGAAGTGGCTCAGTGTAAAATGTGGATGTGGAACCAGCTCATTATCGGCTTGCCACAACACCATTTGCACGCAAGTGGAGAATGAGGGGTCCAACGTGGCTCTTTGCATGGTCCTAAACTATGCAAGTCCTTGAAAGAGTTTGAGCAATTAGATGCAATTAGTGTATGAGTGCTGTCAATCCAACTTGACTGCAACCTGCACGATTTTGAGATTGTTAGGTTCAAGAAACACTGCATGATCAGAACTCCAGTCAGTTTTTGATCCAGCAAGGATGCTCTGGTGTTGATCTCAATCCTCCTCCTCATCCTACTCATCCCAAGATATAATCCCACTCATCCTCATCAGCACATATCAGCATCATTGTCATCCTCTATCAGTACTGTTCTGTCGAACAAAAAACCTTCACACCACGCTCCACCATAGCGAAAAAGCTTTGCCGCTAAGATGCAGCACCTCCAGCGAGCACCTGAAATAGTTCACTGCTTGGAGGACTTTACAAAATGACAAATCCATTGCCAACGCTCGAAAAAATACCTTGATATACCTTGATCATCTCTGATCAATACTGGCTGCACGACAGAACTCTAGTTTTCAGAGACTTCAAGCGATTGTTTTGGCAAGGAGCTGCATTTAGAAGCTGCGGTGGCACGGTGCTTCCATCGGCCTGACCGGAAGGACTACTCTTGAATTCAACTTTCAGATCTGTGAACCCGCAAAAATCTCGAATTGTGTTCAAATGTAGCATCTGGCAAACTTGGTCCAAAAGGCGAAAGAGCATAGACGCGCAAAGGGTAGTATCCCCAAAGAATTTTTCGAAGTGACTCGGAACCATTCACTTCTGACAAGCACCAACCACGAGGGCTACCTGACTGGCGCTCGGGCATGCACAGCTTACACCCATCAAGCGCGAATTGCACTTTGCAGCACTTGCTTTGAGCAAGTCTGATTTCAGCGTCTTAAAATTGTTGAGCAAAAAGATCACCCCAGCTTCAGCAATTCAAGCACTTGTATCTGCGCAGCTGAACTGAGGAGAAAGCCACCTTGCAAATGGATGCAAATGGGGTCTAGAAAAAACGCGTTGCTTGAGAAAATCCAGCATGATGAGTCTTGTTCTTGCAACGTTCGAATCCCAGCGTTTCTGCTGGATGTGCAGGCAGGCAGCCGTGAAAGAAACCTTCGAGCCAAAGAACTTGTAGCCTCAGCAATGCGCAAAGCTACGCAAACGACATGAAAACTCAGATGTGCAACAGCAATGCCAGGGGCAACTGCCTCATGCAGCCCTCTTGCCGCTCAAAGTTCCACGTGTTCCACATGTGCTATGGTCAAAACATGATGTATGGGATTATATGGATCATGGTCATCCATCCCCTCCTGGGAATTCTTGTAATGTGTAGATTGACCCCTATGACCGGATGACCATCCCCAATATTCGCTGATGGAGTCTGATGGTGGCTGAGGTCCTGTCTTGTCTTGACCGCTACGCTGATGGTCTTCCAAATATCTTCGAATGTAGTGAGCGTTGCCTTAATCCCAAACGATTCAAAACCGAAGCTGTGCGTATCTCTACTGTCCACATTGAGCTAAGCTTCAAATATCGTCGTGACTCGACATCACCTCAGCTTTCAGCTTTACAGCATAGAATCACAACTTTCAGGCGGCCAGCCAGGCAAATTGGATCTTGCTAGATCTGACCTGCAAATTGCATGTGCTCACAGTATGCTTTCACTTCACTTCTCGTCTTGCCCTTATTAAGCCCAAGAGCGACCAATGAATCCGGCGGCAAATCTTCTTTCCATAAGACGTTTTGTTGCCAATAGAAATGGCCTGGGTCGGAGACGAAAGGGCACTTGCTTTGTGCCAATATACAACTGGAGGAACGGCTTCGCAGGACTGAGCCAAGTGGCGCATTAAAACATGAGCTGAGAAAAGTTCCCAGCGAACCTCGGTTTTGTCTCTGAGACACACTTTTCTGGAAAGACTTGACAACTTGACAGGCACTTCCGACCTTGCGCCGATTGCCTGCAATGATGCCAAGCAACGAAATTGGCGACAACTTTGAGCATTGGGTTGTCCGGATGCCTTCACAAACTCAAACATGCATGCAACACCTGGCCAAATGGACTTGTCTGAACATACTGTACCCCAAAATCCGATGGTTGATCAACGCTAATCATAATTGAAACCTCATTCAATCGGTTATTTCGCGGTATGCTTCATGTTGATCCATGTTGACAAATCCATATATCATACATCCCATACACAAGTGGTTATCATATAGTTATATAGTTATATAATGTCATATATCTATATATAGTACTTAATAGTACTTATATACACCGTTCCCTTTGCATCACAATCCATGATATCCAAGTGTTGGTGAAACGGTCCCAAATGATTGCATGGGGGGCTGAGACTGGCCTGTACAGGAAATTGTATGCGACATCAGGCTGGGCCAGCAGCAAAGCCACTGGATCCAGTAACACAGTTCTTGCCACGATGTGCCTCCTGGTCCAAGAGAAAGGCCAAGACTGTATGATTCGATTTCACCCAAGCATGCCAACTCCTAAATTGGAAATGGTTGTGGTATAATTATGTATAACTTATCTCAGATTCTCTCCAGATCTCTCAAGATACGCAAGGGTCCTGAAGTGAAGGACCCAGCTCATGACGAAAGTCCCATAGGAGTGAGCAAGGAAAACAGCCTCATAACCGTCTTGCAGCTGCAGTACTTCTGTTACAATGCCAAATCCACACAACACCATTCACAGAAATTCAGAGAGTGCACACGCCTTGTCATGTCCATGCGCTTTTAGCATCTCATGCAAGGCATCAGCCATTTCCTGCCGAGGCGAATCCATCCCAGAAACCTACTGGGTGGTCAATGGCTCGGTCCTTTGGAGGAAGCACCAGCTCACAGCAAGCCTCGTCACCCAGGCAGATTCTGGCCATCTTGTTTGTCTTCCTAGATTTTGGGGTATGGCCGGGTATGGCTTGGAAGTATTGGCCCCCACAACTGGACGCTTTGATACTGCAAATTAAATGACCAAGTTTGTCGGTCCATTGGCACATATGTTTGACCCAGACCCAGTAATGAAATATCCATGATGTCATGAGACCCAGACCCAGTAATGAAATATCCATGATGTCATGATATGGATTTGCTAAAAAAATGGGGCGAAACACCCAAAATTGCAAGATCTTAAATGGACCCAAGGAGGTTTCAATCCTTCGTAGTTCAACCCTTTGTATTTTAGGGCTATATATATATATTATATTATATATATATTATATATTATATATATATATTATATATATTATATTATATATATTATATATTATATATATAATATATATATATACCCCATTTTCACTCAAACACTCAACAATTCATAGATTCAACGGCCGCACATGGGAAATTACAGCATCGCCTGCGAGACCTCCGGCAATTCTATCACCTGGGAGCAGGAGAGTGTTTTTTGAGTTGGGCATAGTGGGCATACTGATTTTATGACATGTTTATGTCATGTTGGCTGGTAAATGAATGATAGACAATGTGGAATGGGGCGAATGATGCCAATGGGGTAGCGTATATCTGACCAAATCAGTGGCGGTGCTGGTAAGCTTGTTGTTAGCTTGTTGTTAGCTTGTTGTTAAGTTCCTGGCAAAGCATTCACGAGATCTGCCAAGCATACCTTGGACAATGGGCGCCCGTGGAATCATGGCAGCTCTATGGGCTCTTGTCTACCACCCTTTTGCCTGAGTGCCCAACGTATAAATCGAAGGTAAGGTGTGATGCCGACTCCAAGACCATGGATTAAAACTACCTCAAATGCGTAGTACACAAATTATTTGGTTTCACTTCCATGCATTGCTGCATTACTAGGTTTGTGCAAGTCTCCTTTCACTGGCCATTCATCTTGATCTGACAACCGGAGGGAGCATTAATGGAGCATTGCTGCCATGTTGCTGGTGAGTCTTGAGATGGTGGTACAGGTTTTCCACGCTCCACTAGCAACCTGTGCAGGGGTGAAAACATGGCATCCCAGGTCAACAGAAGTTCACGCTTGAAAACTCTTGTCCCACATTGATTTATGAAAACATAAGGGCTCGACCCTGGGTAAGCTGGAGGCGGCCGATGAAAGTATGAAAGCTGACCTGACCAGTTTGAGGATGTTTCGGTTTCACCGGTTTCACTAGGCTTCAAAGGTTGCAGTCTTGTTGTTGAAGCATCCGACCTGTTTTGGACCGCGTGAAGCCCATCCTTGGTGCGCTAGTCACATCTCTACCAACACATTGACAGTGCCCCTGTCTGTCACAAACCTTACGATAATTGCAGCAGCCGAGCGGCAGTTGCATGGCAGACCTTGTGGCCAAACGCAACCCAAGAATAGCGGCCTTCAGCTCACAAGAGCAGTTGCAAAACCCCAAATTGGTTGATAATTCCCAATACGTTGGGAATCCCCTGTACTCTTCCAAGCGGTTTTTGACACTTCTCACAAGTTGCATTTGCTTGTGCGCTACACTGGTCTCAACTGCAACAGAAAGCATCTTCAACAGCCAAGCGTCGTAGTACCACAATGGATGGTACCAAGCCTTGCACGAAAGGATCAAATGCAGAGCTGCAAATCCCTAATTTTACAAGATCGATGGTTTCTGGTTGGTGGTTTCAAGATGTTTTAACCCATCCAAACTATATTGGTTGTTAAGAGTCATCATCTCCAATAGAATATCTGAAACCACCAGCCAGGTCAATTTCAAGGACTACTTCTTATTTGTTGTGCCTGGATAGGGTCGAAGTTGATGCGCATTGGCTCAACGCCGGAAGTGTAGCCTCAAGCCACGTACTTCCAATCCAACAGCACGCGTTAGCATTCCATTCTATTGATGGCTGTCAATGCAAAGCGCGGGAGACGAAGTGTGTATTTTTATCCGTGGTATTGGTTACATTTAGCTATTTAAGGCTATTTATCTATATTTATCTCAATAACATTCAATAACATTTGGCAAAACTGCAAGAATCAGAACTCCTGTAGATGGCTCCCAGCTACAATGGCTTTCAGACCAACAGAATGTCGACCAACAGAATGTCAGATGTCAAAAGCATAGATTCTGTTCGGCCTTCGTGGAACCTCCAACCATAGCGTCTTTCACATTCCTGGCCCAACAACGTGTAGTATACATGTTGCAACGCCCCATGGCAAAGTCAGGATCCAGAAATATCCAGAAGACCATCAAATCCACTCCTTGATCATCTCGTCCATCTCGTGTTTCTCAGCACCATCCAGCTCCGACAAATACTTGCTGTAAAATGCCCAGGCGAAAAACCTGGAGATTCCATGTGCTCAAACTGAATCTGCATAGGCAAATACATTCAATTAGTTTCAATTCCAGAATAGTCGAGCAGCTCTTGTACGTTACCACGCTTGATCTTCGACATTGGTGTTTTTTTGAACCAACCTTCAAGCCACTCCTGCAAAGGGCTCAGGCAAGAACTCGAATGATTCGAACTTGTAAGAATTGATTTCCAGCTTCTGCCGATCAGCCAACTGAATATGTATACTGAATGAGACATCATTGGAGCAACAAAACAACATTGTCCAGCCGTTTGCCAATCAGTTTGCACGATGCAACCGCTGAAAACTGAAATTGACGTATGCACTTAGA